GTCAGCCAATAGGCGCGGCCGCCCCGCGGCCACGAGCGGCTCGCTAACCCTGGTCAGCCAAAGGGGGTCTTCGCAGGATCCTGTAGGATCCGGCGCCCTGGCTGGCCCCCGTCTGCATCGACCCCCGTCTCAAGGCTCCCTATACCTCTCCTGACGGGCCCGCGCCCCTGGGCGGGCCCGGGCGGGGGCGCGGGCTTCCCCGCGCCGGGCGCGCCTGGGCCAAGGGCCCCGGGGGCGGGCCGGGGACCGCCCCGGGTCAGGAGCGGAAGAAGGACGCACGCGTACATTTAAGGCGGGCGTGTCCCCCTACAGGGGGATGGTCGAAAAACATAAAAGATACCCCACAAATGCGAAAGATACAAGATACCCCAAGAAATACCCCCACAAGGTCAAAAAATACTCTAAAAATAATCCCCCGACTATTTTTGGACTATGTTTTGATCATTTTGGGGGTACTTTTTCATTTTCGTCGAAAATCCCCCTGTATGGGGACAGGCCCGACTTAAGCGTACATGAACCCACGCTGGGGAGAACCCCGAGTCCGAACGCCGAGCTCACCGGAAACGCCTGCGGCGGGCTCGAGCCGCGGGGCACAGCTCCCCGAGGGGGGTCCTCGCGCGTGCTCAGGAGTGCGCAGTCGACCGGAGAGAGAGACGAGAGGACCATGCGCGTGCACCGGTCCTGGGCACGCACCTCCTGGGTCCAGGATCGGTGCATCCGCTCTCCTGGCTTGGCCAGGGGGGCGATCCTGGGCCAAGGACGGGCCTGGCCAAGACCGGTGCATGTGCATAGCTCTCCTCTCCCAGAGTAGAGATCGGCAACAATCCGACGCATCACCCTGAATTCGTTTTGGCCACAGCCTGCCTGTAGGTCAGGAATGAGCTCGCGGACAAACGAGCGCCGTACCAAACGCCCAAGAACCAGTGGCGACGATGTCACCGCATAGGGTATGCGATTCCTTGGCGTAAGGCGTCACATGTATACCGTGGCAGCACGCCCTGGCACCAGGCACTGCCTGCGCGGGAAGGAAAAACCACAGGCACTCGGATCGCGAGGCTGACAGAACTCGGGGCGGTTCAAGAAAGGGAAGGTCGCACAGGGGGGGACCTTATAGCGAATGAGCTGCAGAGGCGGCTTGCTGCCGCGGCGCCGCCCGGCGGCCGCGCGTCGGAGGCACGTGCGTGGAGGCGGGGACGAAAGCAGCTGCACGCGCCAGGTCTCGCTCCCCCCCCCCGTCCCCAGCCCCCCCCCCTCCCCCCTCCCAGCCCCCCCTCCCAGCCCCCCCTCCCCCCAGCGGGGATCTGCGCCATGGTAAGGGATGGGAGGGAGGGGTAGGAATGTCATATATGACGCGAGCGCACCTAGCTTGCCCCAGCCCCTCCCAGCCCTTCCCCCCCCTCCCCAGCCTTCCCCCCTCCCAGCCTCCCTCCTCCCAGCCCCCCCTCCCTCCCACGCCTCCTCCCAGCCCCCCCTCCTCCCGCCCGCCCCCTCCCAGCCGCCCACCCCCCCGCGCTACCACACGAGGAAAGCTGCACACAGGACGCGGGGGCACGCGGAGAGCACTATGGCCACGGGCAGGCCCCCCGGACCCGGGCCCGAGCAGCGGCCCCGGAGCCAGAGAGCCCCTCCTCTGCACCCATGAGGGGTCCTCGTGTCAGCTTCCGGCCTGCAGCACGAAGAGTACCATTAGGGGAACAGAAAGTGACATGAACATAAAAACTCGGAGGTCCGCGCGATTTCTCGGAATCTGCTCTGGGGCCCCTGCGGCGCCTCCGCGCCGCCCTGGCGCGCTCCGCGCGCCAGGGAGGGGGGTTCAGCGCCGATCCGAGAAATCCGCGCGGACCTCAGAGTTTTTGTGTTTATGTGACTTCTTGTTCCCCTGGCCATGGCTACGTGCTGCCTCCACCTGGGGCCGAGGGCCCTTCTCAGAGGGCGGCGGGGGGCCTCTCAGAAGTCCTCCGGCCTTTCTGGGGCACCCTCTGCGGCCTCGGAGCAGGCTCAGAGGGCTTCTCAGAGGGCCGAGGGCCCCTCTCAGGAGGGCGGCGGGGGGCTTCTCAGAAGCCCCCTCGGGGCCTTCTGGGGGAGCCCTCTGCGGCCTCGGAAAAGAGCTTGCTTTTCGAACGCTTCTCGGAAGGCCGGAGGCCTTCCGAGCTCGCCGCAAGGGCGCGCCGCCCCTCTGCCGCCCTCATGGGCGCGCCGCCGATGCGCTGCGGCCCCGCGCGGCCTGCCCTTCGGGGCCGCAGGCGTCTCCGCAGCGGCGGCCGTGCTTCGATGGCATGCGGTCGAAGCTGCGACCATCATTACCAGCCTGGAACATATCCCTATCCCTATGCTGGGCACCTCCTCATCCCGATGCCAATATTAGGGATCCCCTGAGTTTTTGAGGGCGAATCCGTAAGATTGTCATCGCCTTTTGGCGTATCAATCTTAGGGATAGGGATATGTTCCAGGCTGGTAACATCGGGCAAAACGAGGCGCGAAGCCCTCGTTTGGCCCAGAAGCGCCCGGGTGCGCGAGGAGCGCACCCGAACTGCTCCTTCCTTCGGCGGCTTAACTGCAGATGCGCCGAGGCCCTGTCCAGGCCCAAAAGCACGGTCAGAAGCCTCGAGAGCAGCGGCACAAGTGGCAGGCTGCCTTTGGAGTCTTTGCCGTACGTGTACCTGGGGTGCTCGTCCTTCTGCACGTCCGTGCGGAAGTCCTCCTTGTTCTGCTCCACGAGCGGCGGCCAGAAGAGGTCCGCCGGCCCCGGGGGATGGGATCCACAGGCCGCGGCATGAGCGAAGGGGGCGGAGACTGGAGGAAGTAAAAACGGCATAGACATAAACTTTGGGAGGTCCGAGCAGATTTCTTGGATCCGCGCTCGGATGCCCGGAGGCGCCGCACTTTGGGGGATCCGAGCGAGGCGCCGCCAGGGGCGCCCAGGCGCCGATCCAAGGAATCCGCGCGGACCGTCGAAAGTTTATGTCTATGCCGTTTTATTGGTGGCCACATGTGAGGCCACTCCCACAGCCGCGCAACATCTCTGCCTGAACCCCTGCCGGGGAGCCCAGGCATGATGGACCCCTTGAAGGGTCATTATGCTGCTCCTCCTCCTCCTCCTCCTCCTCCTCCTCCTCCTCCTCCTCCTCCTCCTCCTCCTCCTCCTCCTCCTCCTGCTCCCCCTGCCAGTCCCGCATCCGCGCAACACCTCTGCCTGGACCCCTGCCGGGGTCCCCCTCCTGGCCCGCTCTTCCCGAGGCGGGCCTCTGGCCGCAGCGACGAGGAGCCTCCTCCGGGAGGCCCCCCCCCAAAAAAAGAGCCGCACGAAAGACGCCGGCGAGACCGCGCGCGCTGCCTCGGCGGGCCTTCCCCAAGACAAGATCCCGAATCGGAGGCGTCTTCGTCGTCGTCGTCTTCGTGGTCCTCGGCGTCGTCGTCGGCGTCGTCGTCGGCGTCTCCGTCGGCGTCGGCGGCGGCGGCGGCGGCGTCGGCGTCGTCGGCGTCCCCCTGCGCGGGCGTGCGCGGCGGAGTGGCTGCGCGGCGCTCGGGGGCGGGGCGCGGCCGCTCCCCCGGCCGCGTTTGCAGCCCGTGGCGGCTGGGGCGTGCCCCCCCCCCCCTTTGCCGCTGCAGGGCTCGAGGCCTCCCAGATGGTCCGAGCAGATTTGAAGGGGCCCAGGGACACACACAAGCAAGTGGCACGCGTGCCCTGGCCCTTGCGCGAAGGTGATGCAAGGGACAGGAGGCCTTCGCCGCCGTCCTCCAGGAGCTCCCTTCTGTGGCTGGGGGGGGGGAGGGGGGAGAACGAACGACGAACGAACAAACGACGACGACGAAAATGAAGACACAGCTGCGCAAGAGAATTCGCCGGCCCAACGGGCCAGAGGCGTGCTAAGATCTCCGGTAACTGGTTAACAATTCTCTAGTTCGCGCGCGCGGGGCGGCCCCTGGGGATCCCCAGACGAAAAATACCCTGGGCGGGTCCCGGCTGATCCCCGGGCGACTCCACCAGAGCGCTCCATGAGCGCACCAACAGGGCTCCGAGACGTCCCCGAGAGCCCCAAGAAAGGCCAAGAGGCCCCCAAGATGCCTCCAAGATGGTACACGAGGGGTCCGACATGCCACAAGATCGCTCCAAGACGCCCAAGACAGCCCCCAGACGCCCCAAGAGGCCTCCAAGAGCACTCCCAAGAGGGCCCCAGGAGGCAAAATTCATTGCTTTTCTTTAGGTTTTTGAGAGATTTTGGAGCTTCCATCTTTTCGGCTTCCCGACGCCCCAAGACGGCCCAAGAGGCCCCCAAGAACCCGCCCCAAGAGGGCCCAAGAGGCCCCCAAGAGGGCCCCAAGATGGCCCAAGAGAGCTCGAAGACGGCCCAAGAAGCCTCCAAGACGGTCCAAAAGGGCTCCAAGAACGCCCCCAAAGGGGCCCCAGAGAGGGAACACGAAACAACATTTCGAGCCCTCGGCCCTAAGAAGCCCCCACGAGGCCCCTAAGAGGCCCTAACCCTCAGAAGGCCCCCAAGAGTCCCCCAAGCGGCCCCAGGAAGCCCCCCAAATGCCCCCCCGAGCACGCAAGCAAGTGCAAGCGATGCTACAATGTGCTCTCCTTTCGGTAGACTCCCAACGGGGCCCCTACAGACTTGCAACAAGCGTCAAGAACCTGCCCAAAAAGCAATGTCCAGGAGCGTTCACAAGTGCCGCGAAGAAGCCCTCCTTACGCCGGAAAACCCGGAAAGCCGGGTGGGGTGAGCTGTTCTTCTCACCACCGCGCCCTCTCACACAATGGCTTCCGCACGCCGCCCAGAGCGCGACGTTCGGCTCATGGCCCCCAGAACGCTCCAGGAGCGCGCCAAAACGGCACCGGAACGCCCCCGAAACAATCCAAGCGGCCTCAAGTCGCCGAACAATCGTTCCAAATCGCCCCAGATGACCTCAAAATTGCCGTCGAGGCCGCCAAGAAGCCCCAAGAGAGCCTCAAGAGGCCCTCCAAGACGGCCATTACAATCAAAAATCGTCCCATTCCC